TCGATGAGAGTGCGATGGCAAATGTGTGTGTGTGTGTTCGATGAAGCTGCAAATGGCGGTGCCGCTTCATCGAAGGTGACACACGTTCTCTTGATTTGCCAGAGAACATTGTCTCGCTCGTTGCAGCATGTCTGCTTAATTGGACGCAGTGATTATCGCGACCACGAAACAGTGTCAAGAGAGAGAGAGAGAGTAAGCAAAAGAGAGAAAGCTGTTCTGATCTTGGAACGAGTCAGAGAGTCAAGACATGCTGTTGCTGATGATGTTCTTTTGGCCGTCGTACTTTCTTCTTCTACTTTTTCCATTTAGAGCTGCACACTTCAAACCTGCTGAAACAGGAGAGCCGACTGATGTTTGGCATCGTCTTGACCAACTGCCGCTCGTTTTCCTTGTCTTCTGTAGTCTGTTCGCCTTCAGCTGACTCTTGAGCAGCAGCAACTGTTTAAATGCATCACTGGCCTGTTCGGACACAGTCAGCAGAGTGTTGTCTCTTTCTGCTTGATCGCATCACTAGCACTAGTGTGCTCACGGGCAAACACAGTCTCTTCTCTCTCTTGAGCCCTTTTCCAGCGGCAGTGGTCACTTTGTTGCTGCAAAATCCCACAGCAAGGTTTTCCATTGATTGTGCAATCTGTTTGCAAGCTGAAGAGGCATTAGCAGGAGTCAGTGCCGTCGTTGTCCTCCTCTCCTTTTCGAAGAGAGTTTTTGGGAGAGTGCACTCATGCCAATGCACTTCTTGCTTCGACTGCTGATGCTTTTCGGCAGTTGACGGGCACAGGAGCAGTGAAACAGTGCAAGCAGCCAAGTGACCGAGTGAAGGATTGTGCAGTACTCGTGGTCTCTCTCTTTATCTATCCAATGTGTTCCACTTGCTCCATTTTACTTTTCCTCAGCTTATTTCCTACGTTGTGTCTATATCGATTTTTAGTTTTAGTATCAGAGTATTATACACCAAATATTTACCTCAACAACAACCCCTGTTTATTATTGTGATAGCCCTTTACATCTTCTCTACTTACCTTCATCTCAACTTTACAGTTTTTCAACTCCCTTCCCTTCAACTTCTTTGATTCACCAGCTACTCGTTCAATTTATCATTTGAATATTTATCTTCATTCGACCTCCTCCTCCTCCAGTCATCTCAAACCTCCTCACAATGCATCAATGCTGGTCATGTAAGTGATAGTGCTGGCGGTGGTGGTAGTGCTAATCGATTTGCAGTGGACACTGCAGAGTAACACATGGCAACACTACGGCGACAAAATACGACGGACGCTATCTAGAACGAATGTTTTACGAAACTAGCCCTTACATTACACACAATGGCGCCTTGGTGTGTAATACTTGCAGAAGTGGACTGTCCCCAACTGAAAAAAAGCATTTCACTATGATGACCGTTTCTGTCGCCTTCATATATCGATATGTGGCGGCTGAACTAAAGTAGCGTCGTTTGAACATGCTCTCGAGATACATTAGTCAATTAAGCACCAAACGAGAGATAGGTAGAGTAAGAAACACCGACTTTGTCACCCGACCCTCAAACGTGCCGAAACCTTTCTCTCTTTCTTTTTTGCCGTAGCTATAGTCAGTACTCATTCTCCAACAAGTTTTCTGCTCGGCTAGCAACAGCAGCAGCAGCACCTGCCTGGTGAGGCACGTTCAGTAGTGACCAAACAAGCGAGAGGCAAGTGCACTTTGAGCATACACACACAGACACAGAATGGCGGCTTTTTCTTCTTCTTCTTCTTCTTCATTGAGTTCTGTAACACCGACCATTCACGCTATTCATTACCGCTCACTTGCACTCACTCGCACTCGCACTAGCACACACACACACACACACACACACACACACCGCCTGTCTGTCTGTTTTGTCAGTTTCGCTTTCATCCTCATCAGTTAGTGTTCAGCTCTTCTACCTGTGCTCTCCACTACCCACACCACACCTAGGGCAAACAAACACACACAGACCGTCACTTGTCCTTCGAGTGTCGTTACAGAAGCGACACACCGAATTGCTTGCCACAGTTCTCTTTTTGCTGCTGTCATCAACGGATCATCACAGAGCACTTTGGCGCACCTGTATCTTGATCGAGCACTGTTTTCAAAACATATATTCTTTTTACCTCTTTCCCCGATCACAGTCCTCTTTGTCGCCATCAAGATGGCCCTCGTCAGCCTCATCGCCGTCTACCTAGCACTCACCGTGCTGCCCTTCTTCTTCGTCGAAATTGCCGGCCACCGAATGACCGTCGACCTGAGCTACCCGATGCACAAGGACATCATGAAGTGGATCGACAAAAAGCCCTTTGACATTCAGTTCCAAAACGGAACTGCCCAGTTTGGAAATGCAACTGTGTGGTAAGTCTCTCTATGCTTTTAAAGTAAAATAAACATGCACACACATTTGCAGCATTGCATCAGTGCATTACATCGATGTCAGTGCTATCAATGTCGGTGCTTAGATTTCACTTTAAATTGCCAGTAATTTGAATTTACGGCACGCTGTCTGTAAAACGACCTAATAATAATTCAATCATCGCCAAAGTGTATGCTTCATTGTACGCTTCGCGTTNGAACTGCCCAGTTTGGAAATGCAACTGTGTGGTAAGTCTCTCTATGCTTTCAAAGTAAAATAAACATGCACACACATTTGCAGCATTGCATCAGTGCATTACATCGATGTTAGTGCTATCAATGTCGATGCTTAGATTTCACTTTAAATTGCCAGTAATTTGAATTTACGGCACGCTGTCTGTAAAACGACCTAATAATAATTCAATCATCGCCAAAGTGTATGCTTCATTGTACGCTTCGCGTTGTCTAGTCATTTTTTCCTGTGTGTTGAACATGTGTGCATTCCACAGCTTTGACTTGTTTCCACTTTGCCCGTTGCCATCGTTAACGCACACACACCAAATCATTTCATTTCATTTGCACAAAGGCAAACCAGAGGCAATAGCACTGGTAGTGAACTAGAAAAAAAGAGAATTCAGGTGCCTTTCTGCCATTGAAATTACCACCGACACATGCAAACTCGTGCCGTGCCATTCTGTATCGCCACAGTTTCTCTCTTTCTTTCACTGCTCACCCGCTGCGTAGTGAACAGCACACCACTTAACTTGGGCACCAGCACTGCCACCAGTCACCACCAAATTCAAGTTCATTAATCCCTGCACTCTTGGTGGTGGTGGTGGTGTTGGTGAATATTCTGCNAACAGCACACCACTTAACTTGGGCACCAGCACTGCCACCAGTCACCACCAAATTCAAGTTCATTAATCCCTGCACTCTTGGTGGTGGTGGTAGTGGTGTTGGTGAATATTCTGTAGCTGCAGTAGCAGCAGTACAGCAATGGTTAATATGTATAGCACTTGCGCCTCCCAGCAGTCAGCCAACCAACAACAGTCACAGCATGTAATTGGCAATAACAATTAGCGCGGCACTGTCAGCCGAAATTCAGTTGCGAACATGCGTGCAGCAGCGTGCTCCAGTCAGTTTGTACAGCTGCTGCCACTGTCATTCAATCTTTTTGTGCAGTGTCGTGTGTCAGTGGACAGTCAATCAACCCTCTGGCTTTCTTTGTTGGGTTGTACTGAATTGTAATGATTGAATGATATTAACGCTAATGCTTTTTCTCTTTTACTACTTCCTTTTCCCACCATTCAGGTACCAGTCAGACGACCTGTCACAATCAACACACACCGGCACCCACCTCGACGCACCGGTGCATTTTGGCAAGGGCAAGTGGACCGTCTCTGACATTCCCCTGCACCGACTGGTCGAGCGACCGCTCTTCATCGTCGACGTCACCGACCAGGCGCAGGCGGAGCGGGACTACTCCGCCTCAGTGGCCGACCTGATGCGCTTCGAGGAGACCAGCGGCACTAAGATCAGCCCCGAGTCGGTGGTGCTCCTTCGCACCGGCTGGTCGCGCTTCTGGCCAAACAAACTGGAGTACTTTGGCACGGAAACCGCCGATCCGATGCAGGCGCACTTTCCCGGTCTCTCCGCAGACGGTGCCCGGTGGCTGGTGGAGCAGCGGCAGGTGTACGGCGTCGGAGTCGATGCGCCGAGCATTGACTGCGGCAAGTGCGGCAACCACTACGGCTTCCCCGCCCACGTCACCCTCAGCGCCGGCAACGTCTACGTGCTGGAGAACATCGACGAGACGATCTTCCAGGTGCCGGTCACCGGGGCCACCATCACCGTCCTTCCCATCAACATCATCGGCGCCAGCGGCGCACCGGCGAGAATCATCGCCCAGTACCTGCACCACCACCATGACACCAATCCGGCGAGTGCACTGAAGCCAGTGTCGGCGTTCCTTCTCCTCTCCATTCTTCTTCTTCTGATTGCTTTCAGCAGTAGATGGCATTGAGAAGCTTTTGGTTGTTTCTGTATTAAGCTTATCATTCTGTATTCTGATATCTGCACTTTTTAGTGAGAACCTCCTTTGTAAATGTTATTTTTGTTTTTTTGCCCAAACAACTTTTTTTGTAATAAACCTTTTTGAAACTTTGAATGAAAATTGTTTATTAAATCTATCAAGTATCCCAGTATGAAGAAAAAGGAGTTAAAATGTCACAGTTATTATAATTAATTTGTAAGTAAGCTATTTACATCAGTATTGAAAAGCACTTGCGGGAGTGAGTGAGATGGGTGCAAGTAATAAGGGGCGTACAAATGCATTGGGGTGAGCGCAATAAATACGAATAAATATAAGGAAAGGAGACAAAAGTGGTTCCAGTCACACAAGTGCACACATACAGGTAAGTAGGTTCAAGAAGGCACAGATTTAAAGATGAAAAAGTCCACAGATGAAAAGGAATTGGAGCAGGGCACATCGACGTGTAATGAAAGTACAAAAAAAGTGAAAAAACCAACACATTGGCTGTTTGGTTGTTTATGTACATGGAAGTAAAAGGAAAAAAAGAGAAGAAGCTTCAAGAGTGTGTGAGGATAGAGTGGTGTGGCGATCACAAGGCAAGGTACTGTGGTCACTGTTTCTTTGCCGGCAATTCTGCATAAAGCATACTGTATTTTTTTGGTTTGTTGTCTCGTGTGCGTAGTGGTAGGCAGCCCTACGGACTAAAAAACTGGTCGGAAGAATCTGTGGTGATGAAAAGGGAGAGAGAGAGAGTTGGGCAAAGAGAGGGATCAGTGTGCGGTGATCAAAACAGTGGTGCAGGGTGCGAGATCGAAGATGTGCAGAAGGAGAGAGAGAGGGTGTGCTCAGCAATTGTGTGTGCAATTGTAGGTGTGTTTTGTGGAGTTAGAGGGAGGAGACGGAAGAAGGGAGGAGAAGTGCAACGAGCGCCTGCAGAAGAAGGGGAAAGAGCACAAGGAGCAACTTACTGTGGTCAAGCTCAGTGCTGTTCGAGGTGGTGTGCGGGTGGTGATGCTGCTGCTGCTGCTGGTCATCCTCTTCAGGTCGACCGTGCATCTGCCACTCCTTCAGGTCTTCACTGCGTTTCCTGCTGCTTGCACTTGCCGTTGGGTCCATTCGAACGGCACTGGCCACTGGAATGTCATTGTCGTTGTTGCCCACGAGCTTACTGCCGTTGCTGTTGTTCAGCAGACTGCCAGCCTTGCCAGCAGGTTTTCGGCGCAACTTCCGACTGGCCGCCTGACAGTCGAACCACCACTGGGCAGTCTGTCGAGGGAAGGACGGCTTCGCTTTGGTGTCCACCTGTGTGCGATGATTTACAAAGAAAAAACAAGTTAGAAATGTAAAGTTTACCCACAGTACTCAAAATTGTACCTCAAAGTCAATATCATTAAAGCGATAGTAAGAAGTGCCCTTGAAGAAGTAGGACATTCCATTGTCCCAGCGGAAGGCGGCGTCGATGCGATTTGGCAGGCCGACCCAGTTCTTGATTGGCTTCGGGTACTGCTTCGACACCGGTGGCTCGCTCTTGCTGTCAAATCGCCAGTACTCGTTGCCTAGTGTTGTGTTGACAAAAAAATGTAAACAATCAAAACAACTCAAATCAAATCACCTTTGAAGAAGTACGTCTTTCCATTGCCTCCCCAGACAAAAGACGCGTCGACGTTGTCAGGAATTCCGGCGAATCCAGTGCTGATGAGCTTTGGATAACCCTTGTCCATGCGCATGTTCTTGAAACGCCAGTACTTGTTGCCCTGTGTAGCGGAAAGTGGGGAAGATAATTGGCAATTTAGCAAACGCTGTTCAACTCCTGTTTTCAGCTATTCAGCATCATACCTTGAAGAAGAAGGTTTTCCCATCAGCCCAGGTGAGCGAAGAGTCCAGATTGCCGGGCAGACCGTCCCAGTCGGCGGAGATGCGTCGCGGATAGCCGTCGGCAATGCCGTTCGACTCAATTCGCCAGTAGTAGTCGCCCTTGAAGACGTACGTCGAACCGTCGGCGATACGCGTCACGCTGTCCACCGAGCTGTCCTGACAGAGGTCCGGTCCTTCCGCCGACGGATCAGGGTCGGAAGAGGAGGTCGTCTTGGGCGTAGAGGCTGGCTGGCTGGACTCGTCCTCTCGTACGCCGTACAACGCCTGAATCGCCAGAATGTCGTCCTGGTGCAGCTTGAACTTTGGCTTGTACTTCTGATAGTAGGGCGCCATCAACGAGTCGCGGACGCTGCTGTGGCCCAGCCCCAGCGAGTGACCTAGTTCGTGTGCGGCCACCTGGAAGATGTTTGTGCCTGAAACCAAGAGAAGAAGAAGAAGGTTACTACTTTTTCAAGCCAAAACACATCACCACCTTATTTACCTGAGTACGATGACACCGTCCACTGCTCTTCATTGTCAAAGTGCGCATCACCACCGTACTGCGGAAAATAGGCGTGGGCCAGCGTACTGCCTGGACCGTCAAAGGGATCACCATCACCGTGTTCTCCGGTGACGAAGCGAATGTCAATGTGCACGCGGCCGTCCTTCTTCACGATGAAGTTCAGCGGCGTCACCTCAGACCAGACCTGGAAGGCGCGGGAGATCTCTCGGTCGACGTCGCTGTTCTTCAGATTGCGTCTTGAGGGATACTGGGAGATGCGGTAGGTCAACTCGGTACGACGCCACTTGGATCCTGCAAAACAAACAAACAGCAAACATTTGAGAAAATGCAAATTCACAAAAAAATGTCAATCCCTACACTAGTTTCATACCTTGAAGAGCATATCGCTTCCTTCGCCTGGCCTCCTCGCCGTGGCCAATTTTGTCCTTGTTACCGCACCGAGGAGCACCCATCATGCTCACCGTCTCTTCGTCGAGTGTTCCTGTGTTCAAAAGTCAAGGTCAACTTTTTTTTGTTTATTTTTGACGAAAAAAGTACTTACCAGTCTCATTGAGTCCTGCAAATCGCTGGAAATCCATCAACGCATGTGAGTAGGTGTTTTCGGAGATTAAGTTCTGCGCCGCATCTGTGCTCTCGTTCATGTAGCCGAATCGTTGCAGGTAGTGCTGTGGACAGAAAGAGAAAAAAGAGTGGAAAAAGAGTTCAAAAAAGAAGGCAATACATTAGCATCGGGTTAATGTCCGTGGCAATGGCCACTCAATGGACCCGTCTTTCTGTCACTCTTTTTTAATCGCCAGCATCAGACATTGGCAAATAACCCTGAAATTACAGTGATGGGCAAATCAAGTGCACAAAAAAAGTTGCATCAGTCGTAAAGTGCACCACCATTTGTCACTTGGTTTCTGAAGCTCACACAAGGAAAAGTGGTGACAGGTGCCAATCAACTTAAACAACTCTTGCTTTAACGTGCCTGCAAGATCAAGGAAGTCATCACACACCTGTCGGCTGCAATGTCAAATTGTCCTCAGATCTGACCGCTCAATTTCGAATCATGCTTGCGCATTGGTTGAACTGTAAACTCAGCCGTTGACAGAAAAGAAGAAGTTAAGCAATGTGCAATGCACACAAGCAACTGTGTGACTCATCAGCTGAGGAAAGAAAAAGGGGTAAGAGAAGTCAGTGACCGAGTTTGGCAGGAGCAAGTTATCTCTAACTGTCATCTAAAACTATTTATAGAAAGAGATCCGAGGTAGGGATCACCACATAACAAAGTGAAACAATTCAATTTTCAGCGTGCTTTACCTTTGTTGCTCCCAGCAGTGCATCTCTTCCATTCAGTGGTCGTTGTTCTTTCACCCCCTTGATGTCCAGTCAGGCCTTTATCTCTTTCACTTGGCAGTCATTGCCGCTGAACCGTGCAGCAGCAGAAGCAACCGCATCAGCAGCATCCATTGACCCGTTCATTCACTCACACACAAACACATTCATTCATCCTACACCCAAACAGAAACACATTCATTATATCACACATAACATTACAGCTACTCAGTTTCACTCGATGCTCTCTCTCTCTCCCTGCATCCCTTTCCCCAGGCAGTGGATGACTGTGTTAGGTCGAAGACCCAACAGTGAAGTCACAGTCGATGACCTTAACATTGAAACTTCCACTGCTTTCCCCAGTACACTGCGCGTTTTTCTTGAGGATGCCCTCAAAAGAGACTCTGACACTGACAGAAAAAAAGGTAGAGAACAAGACCATTTCACGGAAAGCTGCCCATTTCACTCTTTTTTTTGGCGGAACAAACTGATTTGTAAGCAGCACCACTTTTTCAATTGCACTTCTGTTGGGTAATCAACAGGCAGTGAGGGCTTTCAGCTTTTGTGCGATGAGTAATGCGCGACAAATAAATTAATAAAAACAAAAAGTAAAGCTAAACAACTGCCTGGCCCGTCACGGAACTAGTGCAGCACTACCCGCTCCCGTTTGCTGATGTCAGATGATCAGATCAGATCCGATGGACTAACTGTAGAGTGCATTGTGGGCTAGTCGGCGTCTGGCTTACGCGCACAAACACTGTCCGTCTGTCATCGATGAAGTAGTAAGGAGTAAACTAAACAGAACAAAAATGCTAATCACCAAGCAAACGGTAGTGGTGGTGGTGGTGGTGGTGGTGGTGAAATACGACAGTGTGGAGACGACCACACACTTATCCTTGAAACACTTCAGCAGCCGGTGTGAGGTTGTTGTACTCTCTCTCCATTCCTCAGTATGACTAACTGTTCAAAATGGCGCATAGCGACACCTGCTCACAAAACACACACACACCTTTGAATTGCTAATCACACCCGGCAGCAGCGAGTTAGACTGGTCACCGATGCAGCTGAGAGGTGCCCCCAGAGTGAGTAAGTTGTCCAAGTTGCATCATATCGTACTCTCATCTACTACTGCCAGAGCAAAGCAAACAGACAGACGGAGTCTCTCTTTCACTCAGGCCACTGCTAACGATGCCATTAGATTAGCAAAGCAAACAAAACAAACGCCAACTCGTTCGCTCGGTCGCTTCCTTATTGAACGAGTGAAGATGATAAAGAGTTTCGGCTTGAGTTTCAATTGATTGTCCGTGTGTCGGTATTGTATGTGTGTGTGTGTGCTTAACTGTCTGTCTGTGGGGAGAACAATGAACAGAGGAATTCAGTGTCAAGTGCTGCTGCTGATGCAGTTGTGTTTGCCGAGTGTGGGCACATTGACCGGCACTGATGCTCTGGTGGCATGTGCTCAGACTGGCACACTGATCGGCGCCATCAGGCACCACCATCGCCACCATGACCACCAGTGCCACTTGAGGCGCCTTCAATTAGTGTCTCTGCAAGGTGGTGCATCGTTCAGCTATTCTAGGTTAGGTGCAGGCAAATGCTTCTTAACTGCTAAATCGATCAAAATCACAATATACTTGAAAAGAAAGAGAAGGAAGCTGACAGACAGAAAGAGAATTTTCCCCATTGAACTACAAAACGAGTAAGTTGTAGCCCACACAACTTCAGACTACTACTCTGCTTTTCAAGTTCAATAGCGCCAATAGGTAGTTTGCCTTGTGTGGAACTGTGTGCTGCTGTCTGGCTAGCTAACTGATGCCTGACAACCGACACCGTCAATGCCATCGTCAATGCACCATTCAATGATGTTCTTTAGAAGAGGCTCACTGGCTTCTTTTTTTCCTTCTTCTCAGTGTCCCGGCAAGGGGCATCTCTGAATTGATTAGCTTTATTGTCTCCTGTTGGTTGCATAATTAAGATGTGAGCGTCTATCGTCATTGGAAACGACCATGGGCNCAGGCAAATGCTTCTTAACTGCTAAATCGATCAAAATCACAATATACTTGGAAAGAAAGAGAAGGAGGCTGACAGACAGAAAGAGAACTTTCCCCATTGAACTACAAAACGAGTAAGTTGTAGCCCACACAACTTCAGACTACTACTCTGCTTTTCAAGTTCAATAGCGCCAATAGGTAGTTTGCCTTGTGTGGAACTGTGTGCTGCTGTCTGGCTAGCTAATTGATGCCTGACAACCGACACCGTCAATGCCATCGTCAATGCACCATCCAATGATGTTCTTTAGAAGAGGCTCACTGGCTTCTTTTTTTCCTTCTTCTCAGTGTCCCGGCAAGGGGCATCTCTGAATTGATTAGCTTTATTGTCTCCTGTTGGTTGCATAATTAAGATGTGAGCGTCTATCGTCATTGGAAACGACCATGGGCTGCTTCAGTTGCCTCTGCACTATGTACTATGTACACACACCGATGTCAAGCAAATGCTGACACAAGTGGTGATGTGGTCTTTGATGGAACAAAATGGCGCCAGTGATGATGGTAGTGGTGGGCAAATTAAGGTAATAGAGCTTAATAGCCGCCATCTTTTTGTGCAGCCATCTTCCCTTCTCAGATGAAGAGTCTACAGTCTACAGTCTAGAGAAGAGTAAAAGTACTTACCAAGGCGGTTACGTCTGACGCTACAAAACGCCGACTTCGACTTCGATGGAGCGGCGCTCCATGGCTGCTAGAGACGACGAGAAGTGAGATCGTGGAGAGGATCACAAGTGATAATTGACTAAGGCGAACAATGGACAAACCACCACCACCACTGCCGATGCTAAACATCCCTGACATCTTCTGCTGCCTCTTCGTGGCTTTCCTTCAAAGAGTAGCGAAGCTCTCGTCGCAAGTTTCAAAGTTATATTTCGCTGTTGAAGAAGTCAGTCGTCAAGATGATCACAAAAAGTTGATGGTGTTTATTGTTGAGTGATTGAAATACCGGTGAGCAAAATGACAAAGTAGTAGCGATCACATTTAAATTAAGAATGCAACAACTCTCTTTGCAATAACCACTGACTGCTGTGTTGATACGCTACACCACCACCGCCGATGAAGCTGAAGTGGAAGCTTTTTACTTTTTCTCTGTGGCCAGCACCTTGGGTATCGAGCACCTCTTTGCGCCTAATAACGGGCTCTCGCTGGTNTATTGTTGAGTGATTGAAGTACCGGTGAGCAAAATGACAAAGTAGTAGCGATCACATTTAAATTAAGAATGCAACAACTCTCTTTGCAATAACCACTGACTGCTGTGTTGATACGCTACACCACCACCGCCGATGAAGCTGAAGTGGAAGCTTTTTTCTTTTTCTCTGTGGCCAGCACCTCGGGTATCGAGCACTTCTTTGCGCCTTATAACGGGCTTTCGCTGGCTTAAATAACAACGCTGAGAGAGAAGGGTGAACTGCGGTTACTTCTGCTGATGCTGCATCAACATGTGTCAAATGCGCGGCAAGCACTTCGACCGTCGTCGCCGATGCCGCTACGGACGATGCTGCTTCTGCTGCTGGTGGTGGTGGTAGTGAAGAAAGGAGGTAGCAATGCCGAAGATGGCTGCAAAAGCACCAGCACACACAAACGCTCACACAAACAGGCCGGACTTGAACCCGCCGTGAAGCATCCTTTTCTTCTTCTCCCCTTCTCCCTCACCCGACAAACGACGGACGGAGTTCCGTAAGTGTTAACTGACTGTATGATCAGTCGGTGGGGGATGCGGTGATGGTGATGCTGCCTGACTGCGTGCCTCTTCACTAAAAAGGGTCTCGGTGAGAGGAGTGGGACGACGGCGACGATTATTATTAGTGTGTAATACCACACAGCTGCTAAAGCTCTCTGAACTACGACGATTAATTGGCCGGGAAGGGTTAGGAGTGATGAGGGCACAGGGAAGTGCTGCTGATGATGAGCAGTGTTGTTGCAGTGGGCGGCAGACGACGGTGCGCTCAAGAGTTAAAATTATGCTGCTGTTGCAAGAGCTCCTCGAGCAGAGCACACTGCAGCGCACAGACGGCGGACACACTGGCTGCCGTAGCTGAAGCAGCGGCAGTGGCAGTGGCGCCCACCAAGGCAACCACCACTGCACTGGTCACGAATGTTCACTAATGAGAATTTTCATCGTAATGCCGCTTCAGTTGGTGATCAACAAGAAACAAAAGTAGAAGAAAGAAGACAGTGAAAAAGGAAGCGGAACTTGCTATCAGCTGGCGAGCGCGCGTTCGCGTTACTGTTGCGATAGCACTTGCACTGCCGCCACTGATGCCACTGCTGCTGCTGCTACTGCCCACTAGCAC